GCAACGTATGAAAAATAATCCTTTAGATTTCTTTGCTTATTAGCAAATATTTTCCGCGGGTATACTAGTTCTGAGCAACTAGAAGTTTCCATTTCAGACCCTCCACGTCACATGCAAGAAATGTTCATGTTATTTGTGTCCGTAAAAAAGTGACGTATTTTGATATAGGTAACGCTGGTGACTCCTTAAACCGTCACAATGGTATGAAGTTCACAACGAAGGATACTGATGATGACAATTGTTCTCGAACGTACCGCGGAGCATGGTGGTATAATGGCTGTCACTATTCCAATTTAAATGGTATCTATTATCTGGGCCACCACAGTTCTTTTGCTGATGGCATAAATTGGTATCACTGGAAAGGTTACAATTACTCCATGAAAAAGACAACGATAAAAATAAAAGATTTAAAATAATTTTTATTGATTTAAAATGACTTCGCGCACTTAACACTTTTAGACAAATAGAATTTGGACATATAGACAGGTCATCTAAATAATACAAAATAAATTTCATTTGTGCTAATAATATTTAATATTTATCTTGTCCCTCTTTTTCCTATTTCGTCATACAATAAATAGCAATAAACAGGTTATACCGGGTGATTGGAAAATATTTTTTTGCCTCCCACATCCAATATTGTTCACCACCTTAATTACTGTCATCGATGCATCAATGTCAGATTAAGGCTCTAGCAAGACACTTTGGAACTACCTCATCTTCGTTCCCAGGGCTTCTCGGCTGCCTGCGTTGCCGTAAGCCCTGGGACCAACCTCGTTCCCAGGTTCTTTGCTCTTGGGAAGCAAAGACCCTGGTCGGAGCTGGTCACGTGAACCCCCAGATTTTGGGGGTAAATTGAATTTGACCTCAGGGAGGGGTAGTAGAGGAGTCTGTTGCGTTTGGAAAATTGCAACTTTATGTGTTATAATTCCGGCTGATAAAAATGTAATTTGCAACAAGAGATTGTGAGAGGAACTGTTCTAAATTCGTACCGATCATGACTTCCTGCTATACTGAATGTCATCAATCGTCATGAAGTGTATCCTGTCCGATATTCAAAACAAAAGATTTATTTTATAACGGGATCCTTTGATTTCCCAAACATCGCCAACATGTAAACAATAGTGCTATTTTGACTGTAAAAGCACAGGATTAAAACCCGTTATGGACTGGCTATAAAATTCATTTCATTTACATTGCTGAAACTCGATGATCAAGAAAGATAATGTCGAAGTGTAGCTAGCTATCTGTTATCACACAAACGCCAAGACTCCTCCGTGCGTTTCCGTGCGTGCGGTACCGCTTGAATATCTAGGACGATATATGCACCAGACACTGGTATTGTACTTTATTATAAATTATTTCATATTTTGTGTATATAGTAATTTGCAAATGTATAATATTAGACCTTTCATTGACATTGGCATTGTCCATTGAGGGCTTTATTGAAGAATAATCCAGTTTCTTTAGACTTGTATAATGGATTAATGCCGCTGTGAGTTATCAATATTTAAATCAACTTTAATCTTTATCGTATTCCGTAACCGACATTTTAGAAGTTTAGTCTGTTTTACCAAACAATACTGGAGGCAAACAATCTATCTATCAATGGAAACTTTAAAAGGTTTGTTGCAGTAAAACTCATTAATATAAGCGAGACTTCGTGTGCATATATCAGTTTATGAATTATGTATATCCTGATAAAACGTAGGACACTTTATAGTTTATACCAGATGTAATAAAAAATACTTTGCTAAACCTTTTCTGCAGTCATTCCTTTGCATTTAAGGGGAGAGGGTAAATGGCGATAGAATTTATAGGAGATGCTGTGCAATATTTTGGCTTCAACAAACAGGTACTCGTGCAGACAAAAAAGAAAATTCATGCAGTTGTGAATTGTCGTATGTCAGCTGTGCACTGTCGATTTCAAACAATTTTGTATGTTATATTTTGTCTTCCTGGTGTTTAATATAAACGATGATAACCTTTTAAAAAAAATCTAAAGCAATATGTCTATAAACAGTTTTAGAATCAATAGAATAGACATTCAATGTGTATTTGGCTTCTGTCCAAACGTGTCACGTTTAAGACCGGCAAGGCGCTAATCCTACGACCTATAAACAGTCGCTTTTGAGACATCTGTTTAACAAAATTTACACCGTGTCCATATCAGAACAATTCATTGGCATATTATAAACATATTATAAATATCAGAGCCAGAACAGAAACGTATGCGTGAAATCAAACTACGCCCGAACCGGCGAAACCCGAGAAAATAAAAATATTTCAAAGCGTACAGTCATACGTTCTCGTTGCTTGATTTCCTGAATTTTCTGTTGCTATAAGAATCTGCATTTTAGCATGTTTGTATAATTTAAAAGCAAACAGAAACCAAATCAGCAAGTAGTTTGAGGTATATATGATTCTCGAAGATGAATTAGATGATTTTACAGAACGGCCACTCCTTGCAATTGAAGTGCGAAGTGCGGAAGTGGAAACATGTAATATGAGACTTTTCCATCCCCCTCTTGGGCTATCAATTTTCTATGGGTCACGTGACCAGCTCCGACCAGGGTCTTTGCTTCCCAAGAGCAAAGAGCCTGGGAACGAGGTTGCCCTGGGACAAGCCGAACCGGAACACCACAAATTCTGGTGTTTTCCGGAAGTAAACGTGCTCTACTGCAGCTAAAAATGCTGACTGTGCATTAATTTTTACTGAGGAGTGGAGACGTGTTGGTGAGAAGAAAATATTGAATTTTCCTTTTGTTTTGATGTATTTTCCACCATCAAGGGAATATGTGTAGACCACCTAATGGAATTATACATACTGGGGTTTTATATTTCGTTGTATCGTTAATATTCGTCAAAATACAACCACATTTCGGTCTCGTATTACATGTATCAATTTTCACGTATGATGCAAACATGATCGAGTCGCACGAAATGTGCTCGAAGAGGTTGTTGTGATTCAAAACATCATGGGTTCTTGTACACATGACCTGTTTCAAGACGCGCTTGTAAAATCACTTCAAAGACTGGATAAAGCCGGACTGGAAATTAAAGAGAAGCAATACGAAGCTTTGTCGTCTATCGTATGTTGTATATAAAAGGAACAAGAACGACATGTGACATGTCTAAACGGCGGTGTGTGTCTGTTTACTGGGCTCACCTAACATTTCGAGAAAATATAAATTATAGATAGATGTTATAAAATAAAGACATTCATTCAAGATGGCTGACAATCACAACACAAACAGATATTAATTATTCAAGCATAAATATGTTACAAATATACTCACCCGGGTGGGCAGAGTATGCTTATGCTAATTATATCACATCTTTCCCTTTTTAATAATAGCCTAAATTCTAAATAAATTAAAGTTCAAGTTGCTAAGACAAAATGTTAAATGTTCTAGATAAAGCAAAGTTCAAATATAAAACATAGGAATATAAGTTCATTAAACTTATAAATTCAAAATAACTAAATTTAATGTCAAATAGTGTTTCTAACTTTACCACCCAAATCGTTTGGGTTTCACCACTAATCGACCACTTCTGGTAACGTACGGGCTGGTGGTTTCGGCTGGTGGTCCAGGTGGTGGGAACATTTCTGGTAAGGGTAAGGGATCTGGATTCACGATCGATAAAGCAGTGGATTGGTCGGCACCAACGGATAGTGGATCTGCCTTCTCGGGAGATGACATTTCTTTGTCAACTACTGGAGCTATGGTTTGGTCGTTGCTGTCAGATCCAAGAGCTGGGCAAACTCTCAAATGCTGTCGATTGCGGCGATACTTTCTTCCGTCCTCGGTTTGCACCACATATGATCTTGGCGTATGGTGATGCCTCACTACCGTCGCTGGTTTCCATTCTTTGGAATACGTCCACGGTTCTAACCGGACTTTAGCTCCAGGCTGAAGTTCTTTCAACTCCTTACTTGCATGCTTGTCATGGTACTTCTTCTGGTCTTCTTTTGTCTTCATTAAATATTTGGAAATACGTTGTGGGCTGTTGTTAGCTGGTTGAAGTAGACTTTCCATCACCGGCAGGTCATTTCGCAATCGACGTCCCATAAGTAGTTGGGCAGGAGACAGTTCGATATTAGGTAACGGCGTTGTTCGATAGTGAAGTAGGGCCAAGTACTTATCATTACTCTTTCGCCACAAATTCTTAATAGTTTGGATGGCTCTTTCTGCTTCTCCGTTTGCTCTCGGGAAGTGAGGTGAGCTGGTCGTATGTTTAAAACCATACTCTTTTGCGAATTCTTGGAACTCGCGACTACTGTATTGGGGCCCATTATCAGAAATGACCTCGGCTGGAATTCCATGGACACAGAATTGGCGTTTGAGCTCGTCTACGACAGCACTACTTCTTGTCGATTCCATCTTGGTAACCTCTGGAAACTTACTACGGTAACACACAGAAACCAAAAAATGTTCTCCACGAAATTCAAATAAGTCGGTTCCTATCTTTTCCCACGGAAACTTTGGAGGAACAGTTGGTTTCAAAGGTTCTGAAGGCTGCTTATTCGCATAATCTGCACACACGCTACAATTGGCAACCATTTCTTCAATGTGTACTGACATGCCAGGCCAAAACAATACATCTCTGGCTCTTTGTCTGCATTTGACTATCCCCAAATGACTCTTGTGGATTTGACAAAGCATATCTGATCTAAGAACTCTTGGCACGATTAGGCGTGTTCCTTTAAAGAGCAACCCATCTGCTGTTACAACTTCATCTCTGAAGGTCCAGTAAGGTCTGGCTTCAACGGGAACTTGTTGTTTCGTGTCAGGCCAACCACTCTTCACTAACGTAAGGACTGCTTGTAGCTCTGGATCGGTTTTGGTCTCCTTCTGGAATTCCTCATATCGCTCGTCAGAAACTGCAAGAACCATATGAACTTCCTGGAATTCTTCATAAATTTCCTGTTCAGTATTTGGCAACGATGCTCGACTCAGAGTGTCAGCTAATACTTGTTTACAGCCAGGAACATAACGTATCTTCACGTCGTATCCACGCACGTTAAGAATCATCTTCTGAAGTCGCAACGGAACCTGCGACAACGGTTTGCTGCTGATTGCTTGTAGTGGCTTATGGTCTGTCTCGACAACCACACTTCTGCCATATATGTACTGATGGAACTTACGACAGGCGAAGACCACTGCAAGCATTTCGGCTTCGATGGCGGCATATCTGCTTTCAGTGTCCGTAAGAGCTCGAGAAGCATAACATACAGGCTTTCCCTCTTGTAGTAACACTGCACCTAATCCTTTGCCACTTGCATCACACTGGATTGTTACCGGTTTGGTTACATCATAATACTGTAGGACTGGTGATTGTGAGACAAGTTCCTTGATCTTCTCGAAGCTTGTTTGCTGTGGTTGATCCCAGTGAAACAGTACATCGGCTTTCTCAAGCCCTCTCAACGGTGCATCTACCTTAGATAATCCAGGAATATACCGACTTAGGAATTGCACAAATCCAAGAAATCGTTTGACGTCTTCTTTGCTATTTGGCGTTGGCATTTCTCGAATAGCTTCAACTTTCCGAGGGTCCATCTTCAAACCTTCCGCTGTGAGGAGATGCCCTACATAAGGCACTTCTCTCTGGCGAATCTTACATTTTTCTCGATTGAGCTTTAATCCTTGTGTAGATGCTCGCTCCAAGAATTTGGTCAATCGTTTATCATGCGTTGTTTCATCCCCGGCGACAATTACATCATCCATAATAACCTCCACACCGTCTAAATCTTCAACCATTCTATCCATGGTTCTTTGGAAAATCTCTGGGGCACATTTTACTCCAAAAGGTAGCCTTGTAAATCTATACCGTCCTATCGGTGTGTTGAAGGTGCAGAGGAGTGAAGACTCTTCATCCAATTTCAGTTGCCAGAAACCATTCTTTGCATCCAATATGCTAAAGGTATTAGCACCTTCGAGACGGCTGGCGACTTCATCCACAGTCTTCATCGGATGGTGGGATCTTTTCATGGCGGCATTCAAATCCCTCGGATCAATACACAATCTCACTGCACCATTAGGCTTTTGAACCACGACCATCGAGTTGACCCAATCTGTCGCTTCTTCCTGTCGCACGATCACACCAAGTCTTTCCATTCTTTTCAGCTCTTCGATAACTTTTTCTCTCTGTGGAATTGGTACTTTTCTTGGAGCATGGACAACAGGGGTAGCACCTTCGTTTAGTTCGATATGATAATCACCAGGTAAGCATCCTAATCCTTTGAACAGCTCAGGGTAGTCATCCAATGTAACTTTCTTTAATGATGCTTCTTGACTTACAACTTGGTAAACTCTCTTCAGCAAACCAAGTTTGACACAAGTGTTTCCACTAAGAACAGATTCAACTTCAGATTCCACAACAAAAAATTTTATATCTTCTGTGTGGTCTTTATACATTACTTTTAACACAACTTCTCCGAATGGTTTTAATTTGTGCTTGGAAAAAGAAACCAAGACAGTATTTGTTTTCTTCAGTGGGCGGAGAGATGTACACTTGAGGTTGTTATAGGTCTTAAAAGACATAACATTTGCTTTTGCCCCACTGTCCAACTGAAATTTAACTTTGATATTTTCTACATCAACAGTTTCGTAAAATTGTTCATCCTCAGATGGAATGGTTGACTCAATTGCATATACAAATAAGGATGAGTCACTGTCCTCGGAACTAGTGTCCTCTTTTCCCTGTAACTGTACGTTGTTGACTGGTTTGGCTCGGCAGACCTTTGCATAGTGATTCATCTTTTGGCATCGTCTACACTGTTGACCCATTGCTGGGCATCTCTGGTGATTTTTATCGAAACCACATCTTCCACACCTGTCATTCGACATGCTGTCCAATCCACGACTTGGGTTTTCTCGCTCTGTGTGCAATTTATTTGAGTATCGACGGCTTCGAGGGTCTCGCTGACGGTACTGTACCGGTTTAATGGCATTAATGCTCGGGTCTTCGTCTTTCGTGAGCTTCTTTAAGCTAGCTAAATTGGTTTCATGGCTTCGTCCGATTTCAATAGCCTTTTCTAATGTCAAAGTATCGGCCAAATCGATACACTTCTCACGAACCTTCGTGTGTTTACAACTAAAAACGATTGCATCACGAACCATACGTTCCTCGTCTTTATAACCACAATCTTTTACCAGAATCCTGAGATCTGTTACGAAAGACTCAAAACTCTCATTATCTCCTTGACGTCTTTCATTAAATTTCAAAGCGGCCATGATATAGTTCTTACGTGGAGTACAATAGTCCTCGAATTTCTTTAGTACAATGTCTAATTTCTTTGCATCAGCGGGTTCGGCAAAGGTAAATCCTTCAAATACATCAAGTCCTTTATCGCCTACCCACAACTTTACATAGCTGACTTTAACGCCGTCCTCTTTATCGTGTAAAGGACCTTCGAAAATACACATTGCTTGTCTATAGAATCGACGCCATTCTTGATTTAAATCTTGTACAATCCAAGACATTTCTGGGGTCTTAAATTTCGCCATTATATATATATTTTTTTTCTCGTTTACTAAACTATTATATTTAGAAAGAACTCTTCTTTCAGTTTTCATTTAGATTCGAGCCTGATGGCTTGAATTCGGCACGGATTCATAAGGATCCTGACACCATATAAAATAAAGACATTCATTCAAGATGGCTGACAATCACAACACAAACAGATATTAATTATTCAAGCATAAATATGTTACAAATATACTCACCCGGGTGGGCAGAGTATGCTTATGCTAATTATATCACAGATGTCATGCATGACTGCATCAGTTTTGGGTTTGAATTGCTAGATTTAAATTTATATTATGTATACAAAATCATGCGTGTGTTAGGGTGTGTATAAAATTCGAACAAAAAAGCACAAGGTCAAGGTGTTTGTTTGGCCATATGCCCATCATGTAATATGAATATTGAACACCGTTTTATATAGTACGTTTAAAACGTTATTTCCATGCCGGATAATCCCGAATCCTTCTCTGATTACATGTGTGGCAAATGACGAAAAATAATTATGTAAAATAATTAACTAATATGTCTTCGGCCATGAATGCAACTCACTAGCTATGCTGCTTACATCTGACAATCAAAACTATATGCATGACTGTATGGCCCAATGTATGTTTGAGGGAAATTTTTGTTTTCAGATTACAGTATAACAACAATATTTCCTGCATTCCAATATATTTTCTACATGCAAGTGCACCTGGGTTAAAATTCTGATTTATCAATATATTGCTATACATATGCACATTAAAAATATGAGTTTTCCAGTTCAATATATCTATAACAGGAGGCTTAAACCAGAATTTCAGAATACAAAAGCAACTTTTATGTCATTTTTGTAATGGTTTGTTTAAAATTCATTTTTATACAGACGTGGTAGGGTGTCGCCTGGCTAGAAGCCTGCATATACATATACAAATTTTCAGTTTTGTCAATAATAATAATTTATTTATAATTCAATTCTTACAAGGTTTGCAATAAGACAACAGAATAAGTATTCTACTCTGAACTGTTGACAGGAAACAGTAAATTCATGATCTCATCCAATATGATATAAGAATTTGAGACCTCGGGCATACTGACTTAAGTTGGTGTGTGAAATTCAGTGAAGTCCCCTGCAGCCAGGACAAAATGGCAAGGTAAATTTCTCCTGTCCTATCATCACTAGGTATTCAACTGGAATTTTCACTTGAAATTTCCCAAACCATTCCTTTACTGTCCTGTAAAAGCCTTTCCTAGCTGACTGCTTTATTTCAGCATTTATATACAGCAGATAAAAGACTAAGTGACCCCCCCCCCTTGACCTCACTCATTCCCCAACTTGGACACTGAAAGTAAGTGTCTTCCCTGTTTGCCAAGAAATGATAAACCAGTTGAATAGGAGGCAATTGTCCTTGCATTCCCCTCTGGTATGCCAAAGGTGCAGGAATTCAAATGACTGGTGCAATTGAATATGCTTATAAGCTTATTCACTGTATTTAAATAATTAAAAGCTATTAAAATTACTCACTAATAATACAACTGAAAAATTCAGAAATAGTAAAATACACCTATAATATTCTATCTGCTATATTTATAAATTCCAATTGGCCATTTTAATATAGAGCCATTTATAGGTGGCCAGGTGGGTAATAGGGCCCTAGGCCAAAAGACCAATACCAAAAGCATAATAAAACACAATATATTACACCATGAAAACTTTACTATCGTAAATATATATTATTAAACATTTTATATTTACAGTGTGCTTATAATTTTACAATTATACTTGAGCACAATATTTTAATAATAGATAACTTTATAGAAACTTTTTAATGGCTTCATAATTGACGTTCCTTCGATATTGTTGCTTACTTCTACTTTATAATTGTCCATTTTGTTATTTTCTTTCGCTCGGTTTGCAAATTATCTCCATTAATCCATAGAAAACAAGCATTATACGTTTATATTTCTTCATATTTCGAACGCGCACTCCTTGAAGGCAGCCATATTGCCGAATATAAACATCCACTTGACGAATAAACTTTTCATATTTCACTCTATTTCCAACGACCAATCAAATCACTTCTGCTTCGGCTTGTCCCAGGGCTTACGGCAACGCAGGCAGCCGAGAAGCCCTGGGAACGAGGATGGAACTACCTCAATATTATTACTGTTATCGATGCATCAGTGTGAATTTGCAAGTTGAGATAGCCGCAAGCATGCAATATCTGCTGAAAAAATTCTTAATGGTTACTGTCATGGGGGTTTATCGTTTAGTTCTCGCTAGTCTGTATTTAAGCTATAGTAACAAACAACATTAGTATCACGATTTCTAACAAATTCATCAGCATGTGCATCTACATATTCCTGTATATAATTTCTTACTCCAGAATCGTACCTCAGGGGTTTACGGAGGAGTATAGATTTGCATCAACAATTCAATCAGATTCCAGGTTTTCACAAACTTATATCATCCAGAGTTGGAAGTTTAATGGGCTTACCTAAGACCTACACGATGCTCTGAAAAGTGCATAATATTTGGAACTGTTTCCGTACTTACCATCCAGTTGGTGCGGACGATAGGTTGCTGTTAAATACATTTAATAATCATATTGGTAATGGTTTAACAATTCATTGCTTATCATTATTGCTATGATATTCTACGAACATCGGGTTCTGCGACTCCAGTGCCGCGCTCTAGCCATGCAACCGAGCAACAGTGTCCAGTTGCTGAGGATTAACGACAGATTCGTGTGGATAAAATGAAGTGACTCCAGTGGAAGGTATAGGAGTAAATATAGAAATTTTTAGCATCTCGTTCGTTTGCCCATACACTATACTAATATCATCCGTTGCACTGATATTAAACATGAATCTGTGGTTACTGCTCGGCAACTGAACTCTGTAGCATAGTTAGATGGTTATGGGACGATGCACCCTAATGACGGAAAGGCAGGACAGACTTTGCCCCTGGTTAGGTCTAAAGGGTTCGGCTATTTTGCGAGTCTGCGAGTGTTCAAGTTTGCGCGCTGCGAATTGCGTGTTTGCGAGTCTACTAATCTTCGAGTTGGAAATAAATAAGTTAGAGTTACAATTGTGAATTTTTCCTAGTATTTCTCTACTAATATACAATTATAGACTTTGAATAAATAAGTTGTTATTAACATACATGCTGCATAAATGTTTTAGTTTATGCATACATGGTTGTCATTTAGCATATGTGTAATGATAGCATTTTATACAAGGAAAATAGACTCATGGAATATGAGCCGCTCGGCCGACTGTCCCAAACTTTTATACAATTTGATTATATACACCGAAATAACAAATAATGCGGGTTTTAAGTAAAAAATAATTTATTTTGTGATAAAAGCAACATCCCGAGCCGGGCGTAAGCCCTGGGCGAGGGTATACTAATTCCACACGGCAATTTAACCCCGGGGGAAGTCGGAAGTTCATCAATAGTTTATTTGACGTTACCATGGGTGTCTACGACGGTGCTAAAATTTGTGAACTTGTAGGCCTTTCCATACTAAACCGGCCTGTGCAGAGACGACGGTTGGCTATCATAAAAAATAAGTCAGCACGTTTGGCAAATGAAATAAAGTTGTTAGGTTTTTGAAACGAAAAAAGTGGTACGGATGCCTATTTTATCCGTGCCGTACCAAAAATCGAGCGTAGTGTAAACGGGGCTTTAGTTTCGATTTCCAGCTATAGTGATACCAGATCATTGAGGAATACTCTCTCCTAGGCATGTAGAGACAATAGTTTAGAACTGATAAAAATATCCTTAATATATACAGTTACATAAGTAAATACACAATTGAAAGTAAATACATTCTAAACACTTAAGCCCCGTTTACACTACGCTCAATTTTTGGTAAGGCACGGATAAAATTGTACCCGTACCACTTTTTTTTGTTCTTGGACTACCTATTTAGCTAAGCCCCGTTTACACTACGCTCAATTTTTGGTACCGCACCAATTTTTGGTTCTTGGACTACCTAAATAGGTAGTCCAAGAACCAAAAAGTGGTGCGGTACCAAAAATTGAGCGTAGTGTAAACGATCTGGGCTTAGCTAAATAGGTAGTCCAAGAACCAAAACAGTGGTACGAGTACCAATTTTATCCGTGCCGTACCAAAAATCGAGCGTAGTGTAAACGGGGCTTTAATGGACGATACTTTATAACGACTGCATGACGACAACGAAATAGCAGACATTTCTTGATTTGATGATTTCTAAATTTCTTGCAAATATATTTCATTTTTGCTCGCATTTTTGCAAGATTTTGTAAATTTCAAAAGCTTTCTCAGAAATAAAGGGCGAAAGAATCGGCTAAAAGAAGGGAGCCGACGTTAACGAAGGTTATAATTGCTCTAAAACCCGATGGCCTTTGCGTATATGAAACAACTTTAAACAAGGCAACATATAATTTCAGTGTATCTTTAATATTGGTTTCCTTTTTTATTATATTGAATTTTTTAAATAAAAAAGAAAGCAAAGTTATTTGCATACGAGAATTTGAAATCATTTTATTGCAAACTCGAAGTTTATCGATAAAGTTATTATTATTATTATTATACAATTTATTTACACACGGTAAAATAGTTACAAGAAAGACACTAAACTAATACTAATACTAATACTGGTTTACAAGATTGCCGTGTGGGGGCTCGTTTATTCGTCAAAATACTTATTAACAGCTTTTTTAAATTTAGCCTGTGTTTGAAGCTTTCTTATTTCTTGAGGAAGGCTATTCCACAATAGTGCACCACTATAACAAAAGCTTCGTTTTAAGTAATTTGTTCGTGGCTTAGGCAAATTCAGCCTCATTTCAGAATTTCTTAGGTTATACCCAGTTCCGCGAATGGAAAAGAATTCTTGTAAATAACTGGGAACATTATACTCTTAAGAGTTTTAAACATTAGACCAAGTTTAAGTTTTTGTCGTCTTAATGACAAGTTATCCCAACGCCGACTATCTAATAATACACTTGCTTCGGTATCATAACTTGATCTCATGATGACTCTCGCTGCTCGGTTTTGCAATTTTTGTAATTTAGTGCTGAGTGTTTCCCCCAAGGCCATCCCATACCGTGCAGCAATAATCGAAATGAGGCTGAATAAGCGCTTGGTATATTTGTATGGATGCGTCTATAGTTATAAACGATCTAACACGCTTTAGTGCACCAATAGCAGATGCAACTTTCTTACATAGTTTATCAATATGATCATGCCAAGTAAGATGTTTATCAATATAAACTCCCAAGGATTTCACCGATTCAACCCTAGTTATTTCATTTTCGTTGATTCTAATATTTATTTCGCTATCTATGGACCTTAATTTTTGCTGAGATCCTATTACCATAAACTCCGTTTTAACAATATTTAGACTTAATCTATTAGTAATAAGCCAGCTATTAAGCTTTTTTAACTCAGAGTTTATTACATTTTGGAGCTCACCTGTTGTGTTTGCTGAATAACTTATACTCGTGTCATCAGCGAACATTCTACGTATAGCATGATTCAAGCAATTTGGAAGGTCATTTATATAGATCAGAAAAAATATGGGCCCCAGGTTACTACCTTGGGGAACACCACAAGTCACCGGGGCAGAATTTGACAATTGGTCATTAACACGGCACTTTTGAGTTCGGTTGGTAAGATAAGATTCAAACCAGGTTAGACTCATTTGATCAATGCCATAGTTTCTTAGCTTTTGTAACATAATTTGGTGATCGATAGTGTAAAAAGCTTTTTAAATCAATAAAAACTATTCCATTGATTAAACCATTGTCAATATTCATGGACCAGTCACTTGTGGCTTCAAGCATTGCAGTTACCGTATACTGTGTAGCGATCTAAAGCCAGATTGGCAAGAAGTTAAAATCTCATTTGTGTTTAGGTATTCATATAATTGGTCAGAAATAATTTTCTCAAAATTTTTTGCAATGGCAGGAATAATGGAAATTGGTCGGTAATTGCTTGGATTACTCTTATGACCACTTGTGAATATTGGTGTCACCCTGCTTGCCTTCCATTCGTTTGGGTATATTCCAGTACGTATTGATGCAGAAAATATTCCAGTCAGTGAAGGTGCAACCACCTGTGCAGCCATTTTCAATAATTTGTTGGGTATATTATCCAACCCAACAGCTTTTTTTCTCATCAATTTTACTTAAGAATTTATAAACAGTTTCAAAGGTAGGAGATTGCAATGAAAATGTCTTATCCGTTGCTTTAAGATAAAAGCTCGGATCATGGTCAGGGGTTGGTATAGATGCAGCCAGGTTGTCACCAACACTCGAAAAATAGTCATTAAAAGCTTCAGCAATATCCATAGGTGCCGTTATTTCTTGATTATTAAAATTTAATTCTGACACTCTATTTGTTTTGCCAATATTTTTGGAACTTAATTCGTTAATTAATTTCCATGTTTTTTTCATGTCACCCTTATGAAGATCAAGATTATTTGTAAAATAATTTCGCTTAACTTCCTTAATTTCATTGTTTATTCGGTTTCGAGTCTGTTTGTATTGCTGCCAAATTTGAGGATCATTAGATAAA